CAATTTCGTGGCGCCCCTGTAAAGAGGCCACGGCGCACAGTTTGGGAATCACTGTTTTAATGTAATTAAATTCCTATCAAAACTAGATAGCATAGGGTTTGGTCTATCACAGATACTTCAGCCTCCTTTCGACACCATTAAATAATGGCAAAAACACTGTTAGCCTTATTCCATTGCATTTTATTAAATTCATAATCGTTTCTGTGATTTATGTGAACAAAGAGCACGAGCCCCAAATAAATCCATTCCAAGAGTATACTATACTTTCCAATAAGTAGATTCTCTAGTAAAAAATGAGATGGCAAAAAAGAGGTTAAGAAAAGTAGAAGAATATGGAATAGAGAATAAGATTACCAGGAGGAGGCTCAGAGGATCGGTCAGCAGAAGAGTGGGTTGATTCCGAAGCAGTCTGAAATTCAGAACTATCTCCACGAGCGGGGCTCTCACTCCGACGAGTATCAGAGAGCGGGAGGCTGGTTGTGGCACGTCTAGTCGCGCAATGAGACTGAGGGACTGTGGAAAACTCGTCCGGTGTACCACCGTCACCAGTGATTCCTGAACGATCCAAGTGCACTTCAGAATTGTGAATTGAAGCATCGATACAATCACCTTCGGGGTCCCGAAAAGTGTTTAGGTCGTCAGCACCACCGCCTGAAAGGCTTGTCCGCGTAGAGTGAAATGATGAGGCCATCACTCTAGCCTGACACAAATCGGATGCTTCAGGTTTACTTGGGGAGACTCGACCCGTGAGGCTAGTGGTACTGATGCCAGCCCAGGCACTGACGAGCAGTAAATCATTATCCTCATCATCATTCTGCTCTTGATCTTGTGGCACTCCATCTTTCTGTCGCATAGAGACAGATGGAATCGAGTCTGATAGTAAGCCTATAGATTTCTGTTGAAATATGAAAGGAAGCGTGAGACATTGCATGCAACGAAAGCATAGAATAATTTATAATGATTTTAGCACAGTTTAGCTAGAAAAAATGCAGAAGAAACTCATAAGTGGCGAGAAAGTGAAACGAAAGAATTTCATTATTGCAACTTAACTAAACTTAGTGATAATATGAGAAAGCAATCTAGCATAAACAAATGGTGGAATGGGAGCAACTCTACTCAGGAGTGAGAAATCGCTCTATAACTGCTAAGAGTCTCCGCAAGGTGGATAGGCTATTTAACTATGATGAATACAATTGTGCCTTACAAAATACAAGTCACTAAAAATTATCCAAGTGCAGACAGGGACTGTGAACTATTTAGTACACATGAAAAGCTGTGAAAAGGGAGCGGTATAATAAGCCTTGTTAGATAACCTATTATGATAGTTTGCGATTAAAAACTCACGCTTGCAATGAATGATAAGTCTTCTAAGATGTTTAGGAGACACAACCAGGGGAGATTCTGAAATATTTGGTACTGGTGCATAATTATTACCATAAGACCTTACAAAATTCCCCACTTTGAGGTCAGTTTATCAAGAGATTCAAAGAAAAAATAACGTGTTTATCTAAATCACTCAGAGGCTCACGCATAATTCGGAAAAGAGGACAAAATATGACAATAAAAAAGTGAAGTTAAGCCTTTAAGCGAGAAAAATAAAAATGCATTGGCAAAAAACTCAGCAAGCTAATTCATAGTCCATCTAAAAAGCCTACCAAAAGGATTTAAATAAATAATACTAATGGATAACATAAAAATTGAGCAATTCAATGTGATGCTAGATTACCATCAATACATAGGCTAGCTGATTTGTAAACATTCAGTCTGAATATGAGTTGTGTAGCATGTGTGAATTGGTAATCTCGAAAACCTACTCATTTACGATTCATTCTGAATGACAGCATTTCGACATGACTTTCTATTTCGAAGGAAATGTTGGTTGAAATTCGTGATATATTTGCACCGGAAACCGAGGGAGGATTGTCGAGTATGGAGGACTACTGACATGACATGAAAACTACATACACGCAATAGACAATAGCATAAGCCCAAACATGATTCAACATTATAGAATCGTACATTAGTTTATTTGTGTAAGGAAACAGTTGCCACCGAAAGCAATTTAGGTTAGGGAAGTAGCTGTACTCATTTGCAGACATGTAAAGTAGGGTTAAAATAGCCAAACAAATCATGGGATGTCTCATTAAGATAGCGAAGTTAGGCATATAAAAAAACGAATAGGGTTTCAGCGGCCATCTTTTATCTTGGCTTAGTATGTTTTTTGTACTTACTTTCATTTCGAGTGAAAGTGTTTGGTGAAGAGATTCTAAGGTCGATTCCACCAGAAGACGACAGCTGATTTCTCTTGACCAGCTGTCGGTTGGCTTTACTGGAATATTCATGCTAACGGTGTTTCTGAGATAATCTCCTTTGATTCCGGTGAAAAGGTGCTAAGGTTTCGTACGTCATATGACGAACATTATTAGAGCAAGGTATCATTATCAAATACGAAGGAAAGTTGGGTTTTGAGGACTCTCTTGTTTTATAATTGTTGAGCTTACTTCCATTTCGAGTAGAAGTGTTGGGTGAAGAGATTCGAAGGT